ATAAGGAATCAGAAACTTAGAAATTGGAGCCAGTATTTGAAGCCGCACTTTCTGATTCAGAGTTCCCTGCTCTTTCTATTATGGCACTTGCAGCAAAAACAGCATGATGGCTTTTATTCATTCCACTGTCTATTTTATTTCAGTTCTGCAAACATTTGTAGAACTGAATGCCAGATCTCAGACCTGTTCTGGGAATGCAAAGACTGTTTAGTCCCTGCCCTGAGGAGTTCAGGGTTTAGTAGGGAAGACTGTTGGCATATAAGTAGGCATGCAGTGTGCTAAGTGTAAGGCTAATGCTATTTATAGATACTTGGAAGTACAGAGGAGGGGCACCTAATCTAGAACAAGGTTCAGGACGTGTCCAAAAAGACACACTGGAGGAGATCATCCCTGAGCTGAGTCTGAACGAGTAACTTGGCCAAGGACAAGGGAGGAAATATGAGCAACAGCAGAATGTAGAGAAGTGTATAGGCTTTTAGAGTTGCTGGAGTGTAAAGCATGAAGCAAGAAATGACCAGGGATCAGGCTTGAGTGGTTAGTAGAAACCAGATGAAACCATATCCTACAGGCAGAACTTTACCAGGACCACTTGTATAGGTACCTTTAAATCAGTTATCCACCCCAGTCCAGTCAGCTATAGCCAGAGCAGAAGAATTGCAAAGCATAGCGACTTGTACTTAAGGAATTGCTCAGAAGGGGACCATTGGGAAAATGGGCATGTCATACACTCTGAGGCTCCTGGAGTAGGTAATGTTGCTGGAAGGCTCAGTGCATAGTTGGTCCAGGACAGAAGACTGGCCTAGCTTGGAGATAGTGAATTTTTAGTGGCATCAGTATGTTTGCCTATGTGGTCTTCCTGAATGGCTTAGGCATGGGATCAGAATTTAAACATTGGTCCAGTTTTTTATTTTGGGTAGCTGATCATTAAGAGAATGGAGGTTGTTGGTTATTAAATAGCTTCAAATGATTGACCATGTTGGATAGAAAACAGGGACAGGGAAAAATGGGATGATCAAGAGACTGGAGGTTTCTGTGAAGTTGAAGAGCAGATGTATTGGGAGAAATATATGGTTAGGAAGAAAGGTCAAAGGTGAAGATTACTGCTTAAGATGACTGAGGTGGAGATTCTCTGAATGATGATAAGATCTAGGTTATGACTCTAGGAGTGGGTGGCTGGAGAGGAGGATAAGGATTTTGGAGTCAAGGAATTGTGAAGCAAGGATAGTAGATGGATCACTACCTGGTTATTTACTAGTATGGTGTTAGGAGTCAAGAGATGGAAATATTGCAAGCTAGGGGCTAATGTCCTTAATGAATAAAGGAAATTGAAGGAGAGATTAATTCATGAGAACAGCAAAGAATAATAAAGGATACTAAATCAAGATGGTGTGAACCTCAAGAATATGCTTTATTTCAAACCAGAATTTTATGGAATAAAATTATCTTATGAAATAATAATTTGACTCCAAACCATTATTTTATGGAATAATGTTTTGGAAGCTGTCATGATGGTAAGCTTGGAAGATCCTAGCACCTCAGCCTGGGTACCACCGAATATTGGACAAAGGAGAATGAAAAACTTCCATCATATAGCGCTCTAAGCTAAACTGTATTCTTAGGTGAAAACCATGTTTCAGTCATGTCAAGAAGATGAAAAAAAAGAATTTTATATAGCAGATTCTACTACCTCTGTGAAATATCACGGCTATTTTAAAGTTTCCTTTATCTGTGTTCCACAAACAACCATAATTTCATGTATATAGTTACCAGATATTTATTGAACACTAAATAAGGTTTAGACACTGTGGCAGAAATTAGATAGATATATAGCCCTATACTTACCTTCAAAAGTTTAAAAGACAGTGGAAGCAATAATTATACATTAATAGCTGGATAAACTGGCTTTCTTATCTTACTTTCCACTACTCCTAATCATACGCCAGCCAGACTAAATCTACTTAATGTATAACCTGTGTGTTCTTACCTCCATGCCATTTCTCATGCTGTAGTCCTTGGCACCCCCAAACCTAAATTCAGTCTATCTTTCGGGTCTAGCATATTCCATTCTTCCATAAAATTTCCACTTATTTCTCCAGATGATGTAACCTCTTTTTCAACATTCTCAAAAGAATACAGCATGATAGTCTGTGAAAAAACATGAATGACAACTCCTCTGAGTCATACAGTAGCTTAGAGAATGAAGAAGCATTAGGACTACCTTAACCAATTTATTTTGTGTATATTCTTTTTATGAAGATACTATGTGATATGTGACAAAATCTGCCTAAGTACATTTTTTTAAATTTCCTTAACACAGAATAAAAGATCTCAGTGATAAAGCATTTTGTTATAGTTTAATTGGCAGCTTTATTCTTAGCATACATAAAATAACGGTATGACAATCAGTGGTGTGCTAGATTCAAAGAAATAAGGTAACTTTTATTTTGTTATTAAATATGCCAGGCATTAAGAATGTGTATCTTCCTAATTGTGTCATACATATTTATATTTAGTTTCTAGATCCTATATTATATGAACTCCTTGAGGGTAGAGTATGTGTTTGTTTTATCTTTGAATCTCTATAACACCTAGTACATTGCTTTACATAAAATAAATGGACATAAAATAGAAATAAAATTTAAATAGACACAAGATAAGTGTTTATTAAATAAATGGATTAAATGAAGTATTCTATAAGTGCCACAAAAGGGGCAAGTTAGAGTACTATATGAGTGAACATTTAGTATGTTCTCACTTAACTGCTTAACTGTGTTTGTTAGAAATGTATTTATATATGGTGTTTGGTCAAGCCCTGGGCTGGATCTCAACTTACGCCAGTGGTTTTTTTAAACAACTGTAAACAAATCCTAATAGATTTCTATAAACTTAGGTCTGGTTTGCTGACTACAGTTCTGAGCAAATGTAGTGACTTGTTGAATCAGAGACAGTGTAAATAAATAAGCCTTTACCTTGGAGAACAAATAAAAGTGACTTTTCCTAATTACGCTATGATTTGTACAGGAGACCAGACAAATGCCTGTCTCCAAGAAATATGGTCTTTAAATGACAGCCTTGTCAATCAATCTCTGTAAACCCATAATAAACAAAACAAACAAACAAAAATAGCCTAGGGGATAAAAACAGCCTAAGGAATTTGTCTACGTGGTATTTTCTAGAAATTTTTACTGTTATTCTTTGGTATATAAGAACAATGAGAAATGGCATAAGCATTTTTTTTTAGTCAGCAAAATGGTTCTACTTTTGATTTAAATAAATTTGTTTCCATTTTTTCTATTGGAAAGAATGCCTGTGTGTTTACAAAACACTTGACATAGAAGAATACTGTAGTAGTCCACTCTGCTGATTCATTAAATATTTCCAGTTCTCTTTTTAGATACATGGTAGGATTGCACATCCTTTCCGTATTAAAATTAGGTGTGGGCATGTGACCTTTTATGTCCAGTGGAATGATACCATAAGTGACATGAAGTTTTAACAGCTGTTACATAATTTGTTGCATTTCCTTTATCCTGTTGCAGAAAGTATAGGAGCACATGGATGGAGCTTCTCTTAGCGAAAGTCTCTGTGTCAGAACAGTATAAAGCTGGGTCTCCAACTTAATTGATCTGCTTATAGACATGTAGCATGGTTTATACCACTAAGATTGTGGAGTTATTAGATAAGCATAACCTCGCTTACCCTGATTAATATAGCCTTCACCCCAAAATAGTGGATATGGTGGTAACTAAAAAAATATAAAAGGTTTGACATGCTGATATTTCTTTTTCTTCCTTATGGAAATATATACTGGACATAGCTTCTATAAGAATAATAATCTCAAGGTGATTAGGATCATTTTCCATGTGTCAAAATACTTTGAATTATAACATTCTCTCAAGGCATTTTGATATATTCTATAAGGTGTCCTTTCATTTGCCCACAATAGAATTGTTTCTTGAAAACAGTGGCCATTGTCATTCATTCCTGTGTTTATCCTTTTACTCAACAAACCTTTTAAAAAATGTTTTATTGATTTCAGAGAGGAGGGGAGAGGGAGAGAGAGATAGAAACATCAGTGATGAGAGAATCATTGACCGGCTGTCTCCTGCATATCCCCTACACTGGGGATTGAGCCTGCAACCCAGCCATGTGCCCTTGGCCAGAATCAAACCCGGGACCCCTTCAGTCTGCAGGCTGGTGCTCTATCTACTGACCCAAATCTGTTAGAGCCAACAAACTTTTTATTGAAAGACCATTATTTACCAGGTGCTAAGACTAGGAAGATGTTCAAGAACTTTAGATAGTTTGGTGGAAAGTGGCAGGAGGCAAGCAGGGGCCAAAAACTATAAAGGACTTTGTTCTTCTGAAGTTTAGATACTTTGGTGGTTTCATAAATGATACTTATTTCATTTTAAAATAGTTTCTCTACATTTGAAACTTAATTTTACAAATATATCCAACTTGATATAGACCAAGTTTTAACACTTTTGAGACCACCAACATATTAATCTGTACTGATTACTTAATTTTTTTTTTTACTCCCTCAATGAACCAAGTAACTTCTCACCTCAGGGCCTTTGTATATGCTGTTCTCTTTCTGTTTTTCTTTAAATTAGTTCAGAAAATTACTGGATCCTATTTCTATTGAAATTGCTGACACCATCTTCTATATTTTTCTATATTATGTTATGTTTTTTAAAATATGTTGTTAGAATTAGTTTTTCTACTATTGCTAGTATAGAAACTATTAAAGAAATAAGAAATTAAGTGCTATCAAAAAGTTTAATTATCCCAATTATGATAGAAGAAAAAAATGTGATCTCATTATCAAGTGGTTTCAAGCAACTATTATTTACAAATTAAAAAATTAAATGCTGAGCTCTGTTTCTGGTCTTCATTATAAAAATATGAATATCATTTGCAAAGGTAGTGGAGAAGAATTTGGAGACAGCAGGGTTCCCTTCTGGTTCTCTCCCATCACCTCTGCCTTTTCATTCTAGGGGTTCTTCAGCAAGCGCCTGAAAGGCTCCATCAAGAGGACCAAAAGTCAATCAAAGCTTGACAGAAACACGAGCTTTCGGCTTCCATCCCTTCGCAATACAGATGACAGGTAGGAAGTTAACTTGCTTAAAACAGAAAAAGCAGTTTTACAGTGGGTTTTGTTTGATAAGGCATGTTGGTCATCTGTAACTTTGCATCATTGACAATTGGAAATATCCAATACAAAACTTACTTTTTTGTCTTGCTCAGGTTAAAGCAAGGTCCAAAATGTTGGCTCAAATACCTAGCCAGTTTAAGAATCTTATAATATTAGAGAATGTATGGATACATAGTGCTGTTTTATAGAATCAAGTTCTACTGGTCAGAGATATGCCTTTTTTTTTTTATAGAATGACTATAAGGGATGATGATGATGATGATAGCTAACATTTTTATGGGCACTGTACCAAATGCTTTATATACATTATCTTGTTTAATCTTTATAATAATCCTATACGATATGAAGTTAACCTCTTATCTAATCTAATAAAAGAGAAACATGCAAATTGACTGTACCTTTGCTACGCCCCAAGCCACACCCACCAGCCAATCAGAGTGACTGTATGCAAATTAACCCAACCAAGATGGCGGCCAGCAGCCATGGAGCTGGAGCAATCAGGAGGCTTGGTTGCCCCAGCAATGGAGGAAGCCAAGCTTCCCGCTTGCCCTGGCCGGCTGTGGCCTCTGCTAAAGGCAACAAAGTTTCAATTATAGAAGATAAATAAATCCCAGATACCTGCTTCCAGCCA